TGCTGACGCCATCCAGATTGCTCTTTCCCTCCTTGCCATCTTCCTCCTTTCCTTCCTCCTTGCCGCCTTCTTCCTTGCCCTCCTTCTCCGCCCCTTCCTCTTCTTTACCCTCCTCCTTGCTTTCCTTGCCGCCATCTTCTTTGCTGTCCTTGGCGCCTTCTTCTTTGCTCTCCTTGCCTTCTCCCTTGCTTTCCTTGCCCTCTTCTTTGCTCTCCTTACCATCGCCTTTACTTTTCCCGTCCACTTTGCTGCCCTTTTTGCTCTTCTCATTTTTGCTTCCTTCCTCCTTTTTCTTTCCATCCTCCTTGGCGCTGCTCTTCTCTGCGCTCTTTCCGCCCTCCTTGGTGACGCTAGCTTTGCTGGTCGTTTTTTCCTTCTCTTTCTCCTTTGTCTTGCTTGTGGTTTTTTCAGCCGATTTTGCCTTTGAAGCAGACTTTCCAGCGGCAGACTTGGCAGATTTAGTCGACTTTCCTTCATTTGCCTTCGACTTGCCGGCTGTTTTCACGGCCTTTGACGACTTTTCCTTAGACATCTTTGATTTGCCTGATTTCAGCGATTTGGTGGACTTTCCAGCGGCGGCGGCCTTAGACTTGCCCGACTTGACTGACTTGGTGGACTTTCCACCACTTGCAGAAGCTGTAGACTTGTCCTTCACCGATTTGCTGCTCTTGGTTGACTTGGGCTTGGCCGACTTGGACTTGATGGACGTTCCCGAGGTGTGCAACGCCGTCTTGATGCCCTCAAGCAGCATAGCTGTGGAGCCTTCTTTTGACTTACTCTTACTCTTAGAGCTCTTCTTTTTGCTCGACTTGCTGGCTGAGGCCAGCGACTTGCCCGACGCCTTTGAGGAGATCGTTTTTGAGGCCTTGGCGGTGGAGAGACCGGCGGCAGAGGCGCCGATGCTCGACTTGGAGACCTTCGAGGTGCGACTCTTCTTGCTGCTTGGCAGCACCGATCCGCTGGAGTAGCCCGACTTGGAGGTGCCAGAACCGGAGAGGGGCGACTTGGAGGACATCATCGACTTGGCCTTTGACTTGGTCGACTTCACTACCGAGTGGTGAGAGCCGGAGGCGCTGCCGCTGAGTCCGCTTTTTATTTTGGAGCTCTTCACCCCTGACGCAGTGGACTTTGAGTGCGAGGCATAGGCGGCCGACTTAAAGGCCGACTTGACGGCAGAAGAGGTGCTTGCAGTGCTAGCGAGCGGTTTCCCGCGGACGCTCTTGTTGATCAGCTTCTTCTCGTCAACGGTGAAGTAGTCGTGGGTGAGCATGTCCCGCGCGTGGATGCGCTTCTTTGTGTCCAGGACGAAGACTTTGTTGGCCAGTGAGCGGACGATCGGATTCAGCGGGTGGACCTTGACAAAGTCACGCCACTGTGTGGTGAACTTGGTCTTGGCACGCACGTGAAAGGGGTACTTGCGCGTCGTGAGGGAGATCAGAATGACGCCAACCGCCCAGACGTCTGCCTTGGAGGGGTCGTAGAGGCGGTGAAAGGCCTCCGGCGGGAGGAAGTTGTTCTTGCGAGCCCGGTGCTCCTTGTGCTGGTACAGTGCCTTCTTCTTCTTGCTGTCGTAGAAGAAGACCGACTTGCTCCAGCCGACCAGCTTCAGGTGGTCGTTCGCCTCCAGCATCAGGTGCTTCAGCTTGATGAAGCGGTGGGCGATGCCGTACTTCTGCAGCTCCTTCACCGCCTCCGTCAGCGTGCGCACCCACTTGCGCACTCGGCCCGGGGCGAGGTCCTGCTTGCCCACCACCAGCTCGTACAGCGATCGGCCGCTGCACTCGCTCATGAAGATGAAGTACGTCTTTTCGGTCTGTTTGGCAGGAAAGGAATTGAAATGTTAGCAAAGTCGACTAAACAAGAAATCATCCTCCTCATTTTCCTTACTAGAAAGATGTCGTACACCTTGGGAAAGCACTCCATCATGGGCTTCTTTCCGATGAAACGCATTATTTTCAGACTGTACAGCTCCATGGTGATCTTGTAGCGCGGCGTGCAGTGCTTTAGCTCAATCAGCTTGCAGACCATCTTCTTCTTCGGGTCCTTGGTGCTTTTCGCCTTCTTCAGGCCCACATTGTCGCCCACATTGGCGCCCAGAATGTGCACCTCGTAGCCGTGTGCTTTGATCTCCTTGAAGGACTTCAGTTCAGTGGCGCCCTTGGTGCCGGCCACCTTGGCCATCTGCTTGCACAGCATCGGCCGACCCTTGACGTTGGAGGCCTCCTGAAAGCTGGCACCGGACAGCTGTTTGCCCTTGCTGGAGCCACCACCAGCACTTCCGACGCCCTGCTTGGCAGAGGCGCCGATCTTGCTGGTGGAAATCTTGACGCGACTCTTTCTGCTAGCCGACTTTGCGGACTTGGATTTTTTCTTCTTCGTCGACTTGCTCTTCGGTTTTGCCGACTTTGGCTTTGCTGACTTTGGCTTTGCCGATTTTGGCTTGGATTTGGATTTGGTCATGGTTGTGCAGTGGGTTGAAGCTACTGAAGAAACAAAGTTGGGAAAATGGACTGAATGGGAAAGTGAAACGTAGCGTACAGAAATAAGAAATGATAGAAGTGATAGTGAATATATGAATTTTGCTCAGCCGTTTTTAGAACTTCCAAAAAACCTCAACAGTTTGCCACGTCATTTTTACACGTATTCTTACTTTTCAATTAGTTTTTCTAAAACCCAGCAAACTCTCTTCTCAATTTTGACCAGTAGCCCCTATTGATAAAGGTCAATAGTACAATGAGAAACGCATAACCCCTTTTGTTTTTACACTTCCAAAAAACACCTAGACAACAGTGATCAATAGAAGGTAAATCTCACTCAAGGACAGACTTAGAGGGAACTTAGACTGCAAATGTTTGTCTTGCAGATTACCAGCTGCAATTGGTCAGAGTGGTGGTCACGGAGTGCACCACAGCGGCTAATCGATGCCATTGCCATTCGGTAAGTCGGTAAGTGGAAACAAAAGCGAATGAGCAAAAGAGAGAGACAACATGTGTCACATGTGACGCCAGCAGGCAGACAATTAGTGGTCAGGGTTATCGCACAGAGAGAGCAAGCAGAGAAGAGCAATGTGTGTGCACTATGTGAAGGAGCAACAAAAGGGGAGAAGATAACGCTGTTCACTAATGTGACTAGACCATCTGTGGCCAACTAACTAAGCCCTCACACAACACACAAGGACCCCAGGACCTCATGTGACTTTTTTATGACTCGGCACTTCTCGAGTCCTCAGAGTTCTTTACTGCGCAAACTGTGATATTGCCTTGAGCTTGAAAATAAAAAAAATGTCTGCTAAAGGAAGACTGACACGCTGAAACTGCAAAACTGATAAAACAGTTTAGTTGAAAAAAAGAGAAGGTCACAAAGAGATGCCGACTGATGAGGCCAACTAATTTGTCCGCCAAATTCAGCGGAAAAAATTACCGTGACTAATGTGGTCGATGGACAAAAGGGCGAAAAGCGACTCCAGAATAAAAACTTTTATTGGACAGTGTTTTGGGGTCTCAATTCTTTGGAATTTCACCAAAATAAAATACTTGTCAATTTGCAATTTACTTGTAACACACTTTTTTTTATAAAAACACTGCATCAAAGAGACCGCTTTGTACATTTTTCTACCTTAAGCTCAAATATCCTCTCTTTCTCTTTCCTCTTGCACCCCTTTGTCGGCACTGGCATAATAAAAAAACAACCGACTGTGATTAAGTTTGCTAATTTTTTAGCTTTAGAAAAAAAACGAGAGAAAGAAGAAGAAGAAAAGCAACAGCTAAAGTAACTCTAGAAGAAAGATAAAGTGGTGGTGGTGGTGATGGTAGCATAGAGACAAGTGCATCGGATAATGAGACGTTCACTCAGTTAGAGAACTGCACTCCTTTACCGACAAACAACAACACCAACCCGCTCTCCAATGAGGTCTCCACTGAAAGAGAAGAGTCAATCAACGGCCGCATCAGTTCAGTGGCGGTCGTCACTGGTGCTCACTGCCTGCCTGCCTGCCTGACTGTGTAAACTTTCACACTTGCCCTTTAGAACTGCAGCAATTACTGAAGGCAGACTGTTTTTAGTTGCCTGCCATCAGACATCAGACTAAAGTGCACTGAATGCTGTAAAAGATAGAGGGAGAAAACGGGCGGGGGGAAAGAACCAGTCTGAAGCAGCAGCAGCAACAGAAAACACATCTCTGTCGGCGGTGCGGTTTCTATCGTCCTTGTCCTCTCTTTCTTTCTCTCCACTTGCCTCATTACCGTGCTAATCCCCCCCCCCTCGGTTGTTATTTTCCTTTTATTGTTTTTGAAAAGCGAGCCGATTGGCTCAGCATCGTAGACCAACTCCATTGGACATTCTTTGACAACCACTGATTGAGCCCCTACATAACACAGGCGATGCTTAAAGGCAGTTTAGAAAAGGCTAATTTAAAAAACTGTTTTGCATTATACAAATACCCAAATTAATTAATAACTTCCTTTGGCAAACCAAAAACATGGCAAACTTACACATCCGCAGCCAAATCACAACAACATGCGCTTGTGTGCACGAGAAAGCAGTGGAAAATGAAGGGCCAACAAGAACATGGCAGTCACCACTCTCTCTCTCTCCTCTCCAAAGGGTCGTCCTTTCTTCAGAATGGACCATCTGACCTGCAGAAGAGTGCTGGCACAAGTGAGCGGCACAGGCGACAGCAACATCAGCAGCAGATACTAGGCAGCAAGCGCGGCAAGTGCCAAGTGCCGAATTGAGACAGACTGGTCGCCGATGCCGCCGCCACAGAGAGAGAGAGAGAGAGAGAGAGAGAGAGAGAGAGAGAAAGAGAAAGAGAAAGAGGAAGGAGGGGAAGGATCGGTCTGCTACCACAGCAACAGCAACGAAAGTCAGCAGCTGTAGCTGCTGCAATGCTATTCAATGGTCTGCTCCAAGTCAGCAGGCACAGGCCTCAAGACGCAAGACAGAAAGTGCACTGTGAGCACTGTGCAGCGGCGTTGTCTCCTTTGCTCTTTCATGCTCCCTTGCTCACTCGCCCGCTCTCTTCAGCAAGCTGTTCTCCTCTCCGTTCCTTCTCTTACTACGACCACGGAGACGGCGACGACGACCACAGGAGGACGACCACGACCACTACCACCACCACCATCAATACCATCAGCACCACCATCAGCACGAGCAAAGCGCGCTCACTATGTTTGTGTTGTGTCTAAGCAGCTCACCACCATCACCGATTGCAGCAGCTACCGTCGCCGTTGATTGCCTTCCCCTCTGACTGTGTAGCCTGCCAGTCGGAGAGTAGTGTCTTGGATCGCAGTCTGTCCGCCATCCAGGAAGTGCTGCTGTGGTGCACCCTGTGATCATCCGCCCACGCCCACACCAGTCACCGAGATGTGTTCACCATCACCCTTCTTACTAGCACCAAGTGCCACCGACTGACGAGCTTAGTCTATCGCCATTCTGTCCACCCACCACTACCACATCCCAACACCTCAGCCATGCACTGATTATCCGCATCCCGTCTCTCTCATCTGTTGATCCCCGAGCCAATTGTTTCAGCAGCTGCTGGTGTGGAGCACCCTGTCGGCCTGGTGAGCACCATGAGCATAGAGTGCCTTCAACGGTCGCCCTCAACATTGCCGTCCTCCTCCTCACCGGTGCATTTCACCGTCGGCGGGCACCATCACCCGCCGCCGCCACTGTCACCGGAGACGACCACCACTCACCACTCTCCCTTTCAGGTGGTTGCCGGTCCAAGCACTCCGAGACGATCACCATCGCCCAGACCTGCAGTGGTCACCACCATGACCCGAACAGACCTGGACGGTGACTGCTCGGTCACGGCTTCTCCGGGAACTGAAATTGCTGCCGAAACCACTACCAACACGACAGCAACAACAGCCAACAACAACAACAGACCGCAGATACCGCCTCGACCAGTGGGCAAGCCAGTTCCGCCGCCTCGTCGCTCTTCAGCCGTCTCCTCCTCATCATCGGCTCCTCTGCCCACCACTTTGACCAGTAATAATGACAATAACAACAATAACACTACCACCAACACCATCACCCCAACCACCACAACCAATTCTTCCAAAGCAGCTGAACACCTGCCGCCAAAACAGCAGCACCAAAACAGCAAGAAGCCGTCCACTGAGCCTCCTTCGAGTGAGGCCTCATCACCGCCCTTCACTGGAACGACAACGGGCAGTGTCTCGCATGCTTCCACTTCAGGCTCCAACACGCCTCCGGTGATCAAATGGGGCAGAAACTTTCATGATCTGATAAAGGACAAAGAGGGCCTTAATCTGTTCACTCGGTTCCTCCAACAGGAGGCACAATCGGAGGATCTGGTCCACTTCTACTACACCTGCGAGTCAATCAAGTGCGCCGAAAATCGCCCACACGTTGCCCGACTGGCGAGGGCGATCCTCAAGAAGTTCATCATCAATGGAAGCTGCTCAGTGGGTGTCTTCCTCTCGGAGGCAGTCAAGTCTAAGCTAGTTCAAGACTACAAGAAGCTCAATGAAAATAGAGCAACCCGAGAGGCAGAAGCCGATGCCGGAAAAGTCCGCTTCACTGACGAGTTCTACATGAACCTCTTCAATGACGCCCAAAGAGAGATCTTCAGCCACCTAAGCGGACCCCTGTACGAACACTTTATCAGACATGACATCTACCTGAGGCATTTAAGGTAAGTCTGAATCGAGCTGAACCACAGCTACAACTGTGAGTTTTATTTTTAATCTTCATTTTGTTTGCAGTGAAATCACTTTCAACAACGAACAGACGATCGTGTACTCGGAGGCGCCAAACGCCGAGGCGACACCCAGTCCCAGCAATGGCTCACTACTTGACGGTGCCAACTCGCTGGAGACCATTGACCCGGCCAGTCAACTGCCGCCCAGCTACGAGTCATTCAGACAGAGTGAATCACCCTACGAGTACGGGTAAGAAAAGACATCCTTTGAGTCGAGACTTTATCTGACACTCTAACACTCCTCCTTTTACTTGAACCATTTAGCTACCGCAGCCAGTCTGGATTTGTCCTCTCCGCCAAACCGCTGCCAACCGTCTCTGAACAGGACGAGGAGACGGGCAGTGCCGTTGATCTCCGGTCTGACGACGAGGTGGCGAGCACACTGGCGGCGGCGGCGACTGACGTGGAGAGCAGCTATCAGCAGATGTTCCACAGTTCGAAGGAGACCGCCGCCCGGTACTTGGCCTCCGCCGAGGATTCAGGCATTGAGACGCAGGTCTCGCTAGTGCCCAGTGAGCGAAACGTGTCGAATCGCAATCGAAACCACTCGGGCAAGTCACGCTCCCATTCGCCCACTGTGGGCATGGGCAGCGGTGGCGGCGGCCCCAACACCACCACCATCACCTCCCTAGGCCGTGGGGTGAACTTCCAGCGAGTGCTCAACAACAACAACAACATCGGCCACCACGACGGCGGCATCAAGTACCAGAGCGCCAGTAAGGTGACCATG